AACCACCTAAAGTGCCATTTCTTTGAGAAAGGAAAATCATGGCAAAGGACATGCTTGTTAGAACCAAAACATGAGAGGGATAGATGTGCAGCCTGTCATCCCTTGCAGTTTTTCAATAAAGATAATTTAAGTATCCAAAAGGCTAGAGTCCAGTAAGTAATTAATTAATTACTTTTTCAGCTTTTTACTGTGCCCTGTAGTCGACAGGGAAACCAAGTTCGCATTTACAATAAAAGCTTGGGTGATTTTATCAGTACTAATTATTCATTTAATGGCAAACAATGATGAAATAAACGTTCATGTTGCATAAAAAACAAGAATTAATGAACGGTTTAGGCGCAATCCAATGATGCATTCTTGCAAGTTTTACTCTTTCGTTAGGGATCAAAGTCTTGAAAAGTGGGTGAAATACATAAAAATATTAATAATTAACGAGCGTTTTTACTTATTAACTGAGATTTTCGGACAACCGGCGAAAATCGAAAAGTTTAACCGACTACCGACAAAGATCGAAAATTTTAACCGACTACCGACAAAATTACTGAATTTTAACCGACAACCGACAAGTGGACCTCCCCATTCAGACCCTCTCATTTGGCTCTGTTAACCTAGAACGATCACTGAGTTCGCAAACGTAGACAGATAGATAGATAGATCGATAGATAGATAGACAGCCTTTATTTTAAAACGATAAGTATTAAAGCTACATGAGCTTTAGGGGTCGTTTGCAATTAACTAATCCCTAAATAAACTAAAAACTAAAATTTAGTGATATTTACAGAAAAAGCATTTGAACATAAATTAGCGATATTTACAACTGTGAGATTGTGAACATAAATTTAAGTATATACAACGTCATCTTTTTTAAAATTACAAGTGGATGAAGACGTTATCTTGAAGCTAAATTCATGAAAGTTAACTAGAGATTTAAGCTTTAGCCTGTGCTGATGATATAAAATGTTTTTTGTCAGGGCAATACAATTGTCGGTCACTGCGTTCCTTAGGACTGAGCCTCTAAACGCGACAGAGTCTTTCATGTAACGCGTGTTGAAGTGTGGAACTTTTAAAGAAGCGCATGTCCGGGTTGAATAATTTGTGGCCCGCTTCTTTGAAATCAGATCGATTAATGTGACAGGTAACCTATCGTGGAAAGCTTTATGAAAACAGATAAAAATAGCAGATTTATGATAAATAGAGAGGGTCGGCCATTGGTCCAGTTGTGGGACTTCAGCAGATGCCATGTCTTTGGGCAGATTAAAAATAGGTCTCACAGTCCTGCAATAGAGTCTTTCCAGGGACTGAAATAAGTCGGAGTTGCAGCAAGAACCCCATAGTATAAGACCATAGGCCACGGAAGGCAAAATGACCTTAAAATAGAGATCCTGACGAACGCTTCTAGGGAGAAATCTCGACTTCTTAAGTAATCCTAGGTTTTTAGCAAATGATTTTTTGAGTTCCAGGATATGCGGAGTCCAGGTCAGTTTCTCATCGACAGTCGTTCCCAGTAATCTACCCTGCGAGCAGAGGCTACATTTTCGCTGTGTGAGCTGCCGTGCGAAAAGTAGCCTCTGCCGACAACCGTTCAAATCCGTCCAGAAATCTAGACAAATAAGTTTAAAAAAAAACGCGTTTTTTTCCTGTTCTTGACTGGTTTAGAGGATTGCGTGAGTCTTGCGTAGCAGATCAGAGTTGCCGCAATTTTTTATTCGCGCCATTGAGGACAGACCTGACAATTCATTTTGCTTACGAATCGCGTGACGAATTTCGCACATGCACTATAGAAAAATGAATGGTTGTCGGCAGAGGCTACTTTTCGCACGCCAGCTCACACAGCGAAAATGTAGCCTCTGCTCGCAGGCATTAATCGTGATTTAGATACCCCTGACTGGCTGGAATCCGGCGGAACACCCTTGATTACAAAAAAATAGGCAAAAAGAATACAAAATAAAAAAAACTCTAAAATATCCGCATCAATGAATCAATATTTTAATATATTTTATCTGTCACTTGAAAACGAAGATTGGGTCAGATTGAAGAAATCACGCTACCTTGCGACTTCTGAAGATTTTAAGAAAGTAGTCCATTGCCTTTTTGTCTGAAATATTGCTGAAAGAGCGGCCACTGAAGTCAAGATGAAGAACTCAATAAACCTAAAATACAATACCTTCTAAATAAATATCTTTTACCGAATTTGATACCTACTGCGATGTTCGAGAAGTATCACTTTTAAAATTCACCGACCTGTTTTGATTCTTATCTTTTTTTGATATTTTGTCTTTGATCAAAAGGAAAGTATTCTTGGTTTAATTGTTTCATTTTGATTTTCCAGCCAATGTTTGTTTGCTTTTTCTTTCGGGTGGTAAATTAAATATTGCATGGAGAGTTTGGTTGGTTGTAACTCAGTTTGATTGTCTGATGCGATCCGCTCAGGCATCACTAGTACCGTATTTTATCCACACGCCACTGATATCCTGATATCCGCGCTCTGAGCGACACGCCATCTATCCATACATAGGGGGGAAAAACGAGGGACCGGAAAACGATGCTTGTGCATAAAAGGAAAAATGGAGGTCGATTTCCTTTTTTTTTTTCGCCTATTGTGTTTATTAGTTTAAAAAACAAATAACGAAGGCAAAGAGAAGTTAAAAGTGACAAAAAAAGCGAGACCATGTGCGCACATGCGTATTTGCAATGCTAAAGACTGTAAGACTGGAAGGTGGACTACATAGATAGAGTTAAGCTACTGATGATCTTTATTTTCCTTAAAATCAGTGTAAAATCTAAGTAGCATAATTTCGGTGACAGAGAGCATAATTTTCAGAAAGTAGCATAATTTTGGCATAATTTCTAAAAAATATGNAAAAAAGCGAGACCATGTGCGCACATGCGTATTTGCAATGCTAAAGACTGTAAGACTGGAAGGTGGACTACATAGATAGAGTTAAGCTACTGATGATCTTTATTTTCCTTAAAATCAGTGTAAAATCTAAGTAGCATAATTTCGGTGACAGAGAGCATAATTTTCAGAAAGTAGCATAATTTTGGCATAATTTCTAAAAAATATGGGCACTGCTAAAAGCACAATATGCTTTTTTTTCGAGCACAATCTACCAAAGCCTACCCCCTCCAGGTAATATTTTCTCGCTCTTTTTTCGATTTAATGCTTGTTTCTGACCTAAAAATAAAGGTACAACAATACGATGTTCAAATTTGGATGCGAATTGCTATTTGCTTCTCTTCATTATATAAATGGAGGTCGTAATTTGGAATTTATCTGCACATGCTTTTTGTCTCTTTTTGGTTTTGGTTCGGGTGGTAAGAGTTTGCATTATCTCATCTGATGTGCATGCGACTCGAAGCAGCTAGAAAATAAACTATTCTAGTTAAAGAGAAGAGAAAACTGTCGGTTTAAAAAGAGTAAGTAAGAAATGGATTAATTTGAAGACGCAGGAAACAGGTCACTTTCTCAAGCTGTTGACTGGGTATAATTAAAATGTGTTACTTACCAGAGGGAAACAACTGCAAAACCTTAGTGTCCTGTTAACTGGAAACGGCACCACTCTGGTGCTGAAACATTACTTTTGAACAAGACTTAAGGTCATTTCATGAGGAGGGGGGATTAAATTAAGCAGTTGACTGGAAATGTCTTGTCGTGGTAAATGGAATTCCTTCTACATTGGCAATTCTTTTGATAATGTGGCATAGATCTTGTCGCAATTGGTTCAACAGGATGAAACTGGAACGCATCGGTGATCGCAAGGCTTAAAGGGTAGAGGCAGGACAGCCGGAAAAAGTTTTTGTTAATCATACAAAATGGCTCTTGAAGTTTTAAGAACCTCTTAAACATCACCTGTTCCCATAAATAACAGAAAGAACTCAATTTCATACGCGTTTCTATAGTTACTTACATTTATGGTTAACATTTATTACATTTATGGTGAGCCAGATTATTGCATTTATGGTTAAAATTTTACTACATTTATGGTTAGTAATTTATTACGTTTATGGCTGATTTTTATCACATTTATGGTGGTTATTACATTTATGGTTGACTTTTATTACATTTATGGTTAGTATTATATTTATGGGTGCAAGCCAAAGATTTTGATGTTATACTGATAGTCGTAAGCCTCATTTCATCAATAGCAAGGCGTAATTCATTGCATCTGTGGTCTAAACCATTCACGTTGGCCTTAATTGACTGTAGCTGTTCCATGATTCCATCGTACTGACTACTTAATATAAAGTCAACAGACTTACTTTGCCCAGGTGAAACTGGACACGATGAGGCGCCATCTTTCGATTTGCCAGTGAGTTATGATGTCATAATGAACTGCATTGTGGGATTCCTGTCAAACAGAACAATCCTGGTTACTGCTAAAGGAGTTCTTGGTGAATTATTGTTCATTTTCAAGACTTATTACAAAACACGACAAGTGATATTACAATTCACGGCAGCTCGGCTTATTACAATTTACGACAACGTGTTATTACAATTTACGATATCTTGGTTATCACGATTCTCGACAACTGTTATTACAATTTACGACAGATGTTACAATTTTATGACAGGTATTAAAATTCACGACAGAGGTACATGTTGGCATTATTTGATGATGAGTCAGTATAAAAAAATTAGTTTATTTTCCATGAGGATCTGCCAAGTCATAAATCAAACAAGATACCAAAACGTGTCCCTCAGTGAAAAAGCTAAGCGGTTGAATTCTATATGACCTATCATCTTTGCAGTGAACGGTGGAGGCCAGCACCACTAGGTCTCCGGATTATTCCATAGCTATCAACTTGAACCTTGCATAGTTATTTCGTCCTTGTAAGTCACCATAATTACGGTACAGCCCCAGGCGAAATATTCGCAACTACGCGATATCACAGTCGATATGTAACGCTGAAAAGGCTGGTGTAAAAGTTCACCTTTTTAAGCAGAAGCTCAACAGTACATACTCTTATTCATGCTTATGGCATGTTTATTAAGTCCTTTTATGGATGAAAAAGATACCTACGGCTGCAACTACCTAGGAACTATGTAGGCATGGTGTACATAGTGTGCCTCCCTACTTCTTCTTGTTTCTTCCATTGTTCTTTTTAAAAGAGTTCAAAACTAGCCAGTACTGCTTACCAATTTACATTTGAATTTCTCATTTCTTTTTTTCATAGAGAAACCCCAAATCCAGAGAGAATCCGAGAGGTTAAAGATTACGATAGAAGAATGGAAACTGCTATTGTCTGGCAACTATATTCATTGTTGTTAACAATAGTGATACTTTTCACCATAGCTGGAAATTCCCTGGTTTGTATTTTAATAAAACGAAACAGAACATTGAAATCATCCATTAACTGGCTTCTTTTTCACCTGGCCATTGCAGATTTACTGGTAGCTGTGTTTTTTATCCCTCCATGCGTTCTAAGCCACTTTATTCACCATCCAGGTCGCAAGACTGGAAACATTCTGTGCCTTATATTTACCGCTGGTACCTTAGGCTGGGTATCTGCCTCAGCGTCGAGCTTTCTACTGGTATCAGTTGCATTCGAGCGATATTATGCCACCTTACATCCATTTCGG